AGGGAAGCTCATGTTTTGTCTGATGCAGAAACATAATCATGAAGTACAAGTTAAAGGAGAAAGTGACTCTGCAGTACCGTGGCCTAGGTCGTTGATGTAGTGTCTGCTTTCAGCAAGTCCTCAGGAACCTGCCGGGCAAGTGGCAGGTACAGTACTTGCAGTAARGCAGAGGTAAAGAATGTTATGCAACTGCTTCTTGACACTAAATGCTTTTCCTTATCTCCACAAAACACCTAAAAGCAGATTTTTCCAGATTGGCTTTTGGTGAGAAAGAGAAACTCTTAAACAAAACAATAAAAATTCAAAGAACTGAGATAGGGCTGCCACAAACGATTATTTTAATAATCGATTAATCACCGATTATTTATTCGATTAGTCGACTAATCGGATCATASGTTAATTGAATATAAAACATACAGCTTATCACGTCAGAATGCAGCTGCTATTGTATAACCATCGTTAGATTTTAGCTATATGCTAACTAAAAATAATTGCTGTGAAAGGCAAGTTCTGCTCTGCAGATTTTGCACAGGTTTCTCTTTCATTTTCTTAAAAAGTTCCCACAATTTTCAGCTCCGTTGCTGGGTAGCCATGATACYAGAGCCTGTCTGTATAATGTGTTGTGACGTCCACGGCCTACCCCATTTACCACTACTGTGCATGTGTGTCAAGGACAGAAAGGTAGATGTGGCAGTGGAAGGTGTCAAAGCAGTTTGGAGAGAAAAACAAAGTAAAGAACAACAAAAAAAAGAAAACGATTAATCGATTATTAAATTAGTCATCGATTATTTTAATAATCGATTAGTCGTCGATTAATCGATTAATTGTGACAGCCCTAAACTGAGATAAATGTTTGTTTTAGCACAGTCTAACATCATAAAACTCTTACTGTGTGAAATATGAATGTAACCTATACCAGTGTTTCCCAAAGTTGGGGTCGGGACCCAAAGTGGGGTCCCRAAACWTYAAKGTGGGGTCCTGAAAAGATTTTCTGAATTAATTACATTTTTGCCTTAGTTGTTACAAAGGAGTGAGGTTAGTATATTTAAAATGGATAAATGTAATATAAAATATATTGTTACTATGCCCATGTTTTGTTGGCCTGATACAAATGTTTATCATCCAAAAATAGTTGGGGGCACAGGTCTCTGCTACTGTTTTGTGTTTCAAAAGTTTGGGAACCACTGACCTATACCCTTCAACACAGAAATGAAGAGTTAATCTTCTGGTCAGACAACATTACATCTTGTCAACTAAAATGTTTAATTTTTTTAACGTTCATTAGCAAGCACAGTTGATTTATCAGTCCAGACACTAGGGTTGGGCAGTATTGATCTTTTTCATACAGACATATTATCTTAAGATAATTGAAAGGGGCAGGGTGTGGGGGTGTATGGTCTGTAGCGAGTTGAGTTACTTTCTCTCCATCACCACCAAACTTTGTTCAAATGTTGTGTCTTTTTATTTTCTTCTTCCTGTTGATTGTATGGCATTTGTCAAATAATATTGGGCCTCGATAAGAAAGGAGGTCGGGGGTGGGGGGGTGGGGTCTTTTCATCTAAAGAGAACGATGAGACTGGCAGTGGACTGAGGTGTTTTTTCCAGGAGATTATCATGTTTCCTGCTAGGACATATTAAGTGGTGTATTTATCATAACTCCAGTTTTATTTGGCCTTTCAACACAATTTAAAAACTGGTGTAAAGTTTGAAGTGTCTACTTTTGACACAAATTGAAACAGAATCTCAGAGAATGCGTTTATTTCCAGTTAGAGTGATTTAAATAGGTCATGATGTGACTAGGCTCCAGAAGGTTAATATAACGTCATAATGCTGTCACCATATTTCGATACCGGGGTATACCACAATACCATCACACCGCTCAACCTACCACACATTTAGAGTAACAGATTGCTTTGTGTGCAACACCAGTGACTGGCAAATATTTGATTGTGATAAGTGAGCTCAGAAAGCTTTCGGCTCACACGCTCTGCCCACAAACTTGACAGCTTCGTGGATAAAACAAACACCAACAGCTTGTCCCGGTCTCCTCAAACCAACAAGGTGCTTCTTCGCCAAACTTCCAGCTTGTTCCAACATCTATTTTTAAAGTTCTTCTGTCTGCTTTTAAAGCATTTCTTAAAAAGGTCAGGCTGTGCTGTATACAAGAGAATGACATAGCCACATGAGGCCATCACCTTTGAAAACTATAAACCTGCTAAATTTAATTTCCTAAATGACTTTTCCTCCATGCGAGGTATTTAGCGTTGCTATAAAAAGAGTTCAATCATCCCTAGAGTTGATATCCTGTAAAGTAAATGAACGCTAGGTGACAATAGAGCTGTTGCCATTGTGGTTTATGTATATATGGCTGTCAGGTCATAAAAGAGTTAGAATGATTGTGGTTGGTATCAGGAAACATGAAACATGCTGTCCTTAAAAAGTCCAGAGGTCATCCAAAGTTTAGTCCAGATTTGTTGAGCTACGCATTACTTAAGCAAAACGGATCAACCAAGAAGGCCCTTATAAGAGAACTAATCTGATACACTCCCATCTTTTACAATCCAAGAGCCAAGTTCAATTTCTAGGAAAACTTTGAGACTTCTTGTCACTAAAATCAAGCTTGATGGAAACAGATTTTAAAGGAATTAGAAGTTTTTTTAAAAGGCGCATATCTAAATATATAATGAAGTAAAGGATACATTACCAGATAAATTCAATCAAAGGCCAAGTGTTCTTTGAAGGAATGCAAATCACCCACCACCAGAGTTTACATTAAGATCATCTCATCTTTTAGCTGTTTTGGCCAAACTTTTAAAATAAACTCGTGAAATATCGCCAGATGTCACGCTCGCTCAGCTGATGTGTTATAAATAACTCTCGGCTACCACATCAAACTGTAGCGCGACATCTAGAAACTGACTGAGTTAAAGTTATTTTTGTGGTCTCTTGGCAGCCATTTGAAACAGGTAGTAGATTTTCATCCGATAATTACTTTCTGCCGATTTGATTTAAAATTAATCCAGTGGTTCATGAGGTATTTTGCAACATCATCTTCCACCTTTGCTCTTTGGAAACAAACCATACATGTGAGAAACTTGTGTTTTGTTCTGTTTTCAACCGACTTCCTCGTGTTTTGATTTTGCTGCATGAACCACCGTTCAACCAGAGTCTTTAAAACATGTGCTCTGTTCTGCAGCAGATATTCTGTGTTCCTGGGAGAGTGGGTGCTGTTTAACTCACCAAGAGTGGTGCCTTTTTTTTATTTTTTGTCTCCACTTCGCTTCCCGTAACGTTCATGTTCAGTTTGTTTAGCTCTAAATGAAGGTCCTGCAGCTCCAACGCTCAGAACTCATCACCTGAACTGTGACTACTCCTCCTGTGTTTACCTGAACATTGAAGAGGATGCTTTTAATCAGCAAAGGTGTGGTGAACCTCACGAATCAGTGGTCTGTGGTGCAAGTTCACCGAGTGGATTGATCTGACTCCCTTTACACTCCCACACACGTACGCTAAATATAATGTGTGGGTGGCGAGGGATAGGTTTGGGGCTTTTCTCTGCAAGCGTTCGCAGGAAACATCTGACTGTGTTTCAGACTTAATTCCAATAGATCAAAGAAAATTATTTAAGGAGCAGGACCTTTAGAAATTTACCATAAGCTTCAAGCTTGGCTAATCTCTCTGGAGCACTGACCATGCCAAATTAAACATTTACAGAATCAGATAAAGACGTTTGGATCTTTTTGTTAAAAAAGAAAGACCCACAACACTCAATGAAAACTCTTGAAACTGACAAAATTAAGCAAAAAAAGAAAGTGAAAACTGGTTTTGTCACATCGCACCATCCATCACAATTTGAGCCAAAGAGAACTTAATGGAAGTTGACCGAGGAGGACACTAAAAAAAATAAAATAAAAAATAGAATTTGCCCAAATTCTTTTTGACAAGCCACAAAAAAAAAAAAACAAAGAAAAGAATACGGTACCTATAATGAAACATGGAGGAGGCTCAGTTCTGTTCTGGGGCTACTTTGCTGAATCAGACACAGGGAGGTTTAAATCTGTGCAGAGTGAAACAAAACTCTCAAGACTCGAAGCCTTCTGGAGTGAAATGTGCTGCCCGGTGTCAAAAAGACTGGTCTCAGGGGCCGTTTACACGGAGCTGGTTTTCTGTGTTGTGATYCAGGCGCTCGTGACTGGAGTTTTTGACACCGACACCTTATGAAACCAGGTCTCAGAGTGGAACTTTTCATTAACACCCCCCCGCAGAGTGTGTTTACATAAAATTTCATACAAAATTTACAATAAACTGCAGACAGCAGAGTGAGTTTTGTGTTACTCACCCTTTGCAGCATGGAGCAAAACCAAAAAACACCCAAGGTCTGAATGAATTCACTAGGTTCAGACTAGAGATCATGCAGACACTGCAGAAATTGTTTTTTTGCYTCGTCTTTTCTGCAAAAATTAACCAACCTTATCTTACAACACCCTCACTCAGCTTAAAATAAGAGTTTAGGTCAAAACACACTAATTTTAAAAGGGGCGGTACAACAGTTTACCATGTCCTATCTGGCCACCGTGCATGGCACATTTCTGCAGCGGTTCCATGTAAACGTGTGATCCTTGCTTATTCACCCCAATAAACATTGAAAACCACCAGCAGATCCTGAGACCGGTCTTGTGTAAACAGAGCTTCAGTCAGGTTGTAGGTCCTTCAATAATACGGGTGTAACAATACRTCGATTCACATCAATATRCTGATTAAATGATTAATGACTCAATTACCCCAAGGCCAAACCAAAACAGATGCACATCTTTATCACATGCCCAATGTGAATTGATGGGCATRTGATCATATCGGTCTCATCAAAATCMTATCATGACAGACAGATCAACATAWTGTTTTATCATGATAAAGCTGGTGGTTTACACAAARACARTAASCCATAGTTCACAACTAAAATCACTCAACAATAGCTATGAACAGTACTGATCAATACTCACCCCGTGCCTATGAGCTTGTTCGTTCAGAGCCTTCACCCAGGTCCTCTGCCAGTGCTCCCTGAACGACTTGAAGGAGAACAGAGAGGTCAGCAAGCCTCTGACCCCGACCTCAGAGCCAGGACCCCCATCCTTCTTGCCAGGGCGGAGCTTCAGCAGGAAGCCCCACACGCCTCCAGCACGGTGGCTCTGCGCGTGGAGGGCCAGATGCTGATGCTGCCAGGCTGTCTCTCCGCCGCCTTGCTTCTTGGCCGTTTTCCTGGTTTTCCACAGCCGCAGTAAAGTCAGGAAATGCTGGATCAGCCATCTGAGCACAATGAGTACGGAGGCTAAGAAGAGAGCCACCATGCAGAGCCAGCTCAACTCCTGGAGCTCCATCACCGCCTCCTGAAGCCTCTCATATCACCAGGTCCAGATGGAAATATCAGAGCTGCCACTTTCAGCAGCTCAGCTCCCTTTTAAAGCCTGCGAATGCCAGCACACAATTATTTCAATACCTGACGTAGTTATACACTATAATATATAAGCCACACATGAAAGATGGTGGTTAGAACCAGCCTTACTTTGTGGTTATTTCGGTCATAAAGCAGCCTGATTTAAGGTTACATAAAGAAAAAACAACTGATGCAAAATGACGGCTTCAACGCACAGGTTGAGGCTGAAACAGTGCATCGACAGCGGCTTTAAACTAACCTGAAGTTTAATTCAAAAAGAGCGAGCAGCAGCCTTCAGGTAACCAAAAGCGAATGACGTGCATGGCGACACAGAGCGCCTCTAAACCCAAACATGAGTCCCATCTATCTCACGTCCGGTCCGAAAGGGTTCTGCTCGTGTCTTTCCGCTGCCAATTATTCGAAAATACGTCTTCTGTCCCCTGATAAAAACCTGCAAGCTCCGACGACTTTAAAATCTCCGCTGTGTTTTGCCCTTCTGCTGTCGCTACCTTCTGTAATAATGACGAATGAATAAGACAGCAGCGGCCTACAGGCGGCGCTACGGGACCGGAAAAGAAGAGCAAAAACAAACGGAGTTTTCAAAATAAAAGCCGTTTCTGGAAAGTTACAAAAATAAAATTTCAAATGTTTTTTGTAAACGTGATTTTGTCAAAGTTTAGCTAAGTATAACTAAACTAGAATTTAAAAACAATACATTTAAACTAAAATATCAAGTATTTTTTTTATTCTCTGTAATAGATTTTTTTTCTTGTGTGACTGCAAAAGAATAAAATCTACGATTTAACACATTAAAAAACCCTGGTTACAAAATTTTACTTGTACAAAAGTGCTCAAAAATATTAAATAACGATTAATAAATAGCTCGAGTACAATTAAAGTTAAACTAGGCTTTTGCAAATCAAAAGACTGTTTGAAGTAACTAAAATTTGAAAAATGTAATATATACCTTTAACAAAATAATGAAATAACAAGTAGCATCATAAGTGAGATTTTCGTGTTTTAAAATGGCTAAGAAAGAAAGAAAGAAAGAAAGAAAGAAAGAAAGAAAGAAAGAAAGAAAGAAAGAAAGAAAGAAAGAAAGAAAGAAAGAAAG